ATGGAAACAACCTAAATGTTCATTTATATGGATAAAGAAAATTAGACACATATATACAATTCAATCATAAAAAGAATGAAATCTTGCCATTTGTGACAACAAGGATGTACCTTAAGGGCATTATGCTAGGTGAAATGAGTCAGAGAAAGACAAATCCCATGTAGAATCTAAACAAAAATTAAATTAAGAAAAACAGGTTAATTGCCAGAGTCAGGGGTTGGAGGTAGGCAAAATGGGTGAAGGGAATCAAAAGGAACAAACTTCCAGTTATTAAATAAATCAGTCCCAGAGATGTAATGTACAGCATGGTAACTATAGTTAATACTCTAGTACATATTTGAAAGTTTCTGAGAAGAGTAAATCTTTAAAGTTCTCATCATAAGAAGTTTACAGCTTTGTATGGTGACAAATGTTAACTAGAATTATTGTGATGATCATTTTGCAATATATACAAATATTGAATCACTATGTTGTACATCTGAAACTAATATAATGTATGTCAGTTATACTACAACAAAAAAAAACAATAAAAAGAATGTACTCCTATAAATTTCCTTTTATAGCTATAATATTTTTAAATAAATGTGGTCAGATTTTAGTCCAGGGTATTCATTGTAGATAATTGGGCCTGGCTGGCTTCTAAAATTTAGTTTTAGAGTTGCAGAGCTGTGGTTTAGTGTACCTACTTCTTTATTATTGTTTTTGTTTGTGGGTTATGCCCATTTTTTTGCACCCCCTCTTTTTTTTACAATGATCCCTCACTGTTTTAAGAAATACATTTAGAAATCTTTAAAAAAAAAAAAAAAGTCCCTGTTAATGGACATTCACTATTCATGACTTGTTTTCCACGAATTCTGCAGTGATGTGGTTTAATACTGACTCGCAAATAGTGTTCAGAATATTCTGATTCTGCAGGAATTCAGCGAAGTGATCGAGGCTCCATCTCTCTCATATTTTGACACCTGTCAAAGAATGCACAAGTCAGTGAAACCAGCAATTTTTTAAATAGTTTATTGTCAAGTTGGTTTCCATATAACACCCAGTGCTCATCCCAACAAGTGCCCTCCTCCATGCCCGTCACCCCGTTCCCCTCTTCCCCACCCCTATCAGCCCTCAGTTTCTTCTCAGCATTCAAGAGTCTCTCATGGTTTGCCTCCCTCCCTCTCCCCAACTATTTTTCCCCTTCTCCTCCCCCATGGTCCTCCATTAAGTTCCTCCTAATCCACCCATATGTGCAAACATATGGTATGTGTCCTTCTCTGCCTGACTTACTTCGCTCAGCATAACAACCTCAAGTTCCATCCATGTTGCTACAAATGGCCAGATTTCATGAAACCAGCAATTAAAAAAATTTTTTTTAATGTTTTTCTATATTTCTAAGAGAGACAGCATGAGCAGGTGAGGGTCAGAGAGAGAGGGAGACACAGAATCTGAAATAGGCTCCAGGCTCTGAGCTAGCTGTCAGCACAGAGCCCGACGCAGGGCTTGAACCCACGAACATGAGATCATGACCTGAGCCAAGGTAGGATGCTTAACTGACTAAGCCACCCAGGCGCCCACCAGCAATTTTTTAAAGAGATAATTCCTTCCTCAAACTGGTTTTGCTGAATTTGAATGCTTGAAAAAATTATTATTTCGCCTTTTCAATTTTATGACAATTAGATACTAGAGATGACCATATTTTGTGCCTCTCACATCTTTTAATAAAAAACCAAGAGTTTTACAACATTGAAAGGTAGCAAAGTATAGTGGTAAGGACCTCAGTTTTAAATGAGAAGTCCCAACTTCAAAGTCCATTTCCTCAACATACTATTTGACCATGAGCTAATTATTAGTATAAGCTTTTATTTCTTTCAATGGGAGAAGATCAGATATTGTGAAGATCTGATATTAGTTACTATATAGTGATTAGTTACTATATAGTGACATTAGTACTGATACTGTCTTGACGCTTGAATCCCAGTGCAAGGCCGTCTGATTCTAACAGCATCTTGTGTCTTTTCTTCCCAGTGAGATTTACAAATTCCTATGAGCAGATATTATATTCTTTGTTTCTTTGTGTTCCACAGTGCCCAAATCAGGGTTAGCACATGTAAGATGGTCAGTAACTATTCCCTGAATTTTACTGAGTCAATCCCATGAAGAGAAAGCACCCAAGGAACGGAGGAGAGCATCTTGAGTTATGGATTCTTTGCCATTGCCATGTCACTAATTTTGAATGTGTTCATTTGTCCTTCAAGGCCTATGTTTTGTTGTTTGTAAAAGAATGTTGGGGTCATCTGACCCCTAAGAATGTGGCTTTTTGGTTTGGTTTTGTTAGAGAGGAAGGGAGAGACAGAATCCCAAGCAGGCTCCACACCTAGCACAGAGCTGCACACGGGGCTCAATTCCACAACTGCGAGATCATGACCTGAGCCAAAATCAAAAGTTGGATGCTTAACAGACAGAGCCACTCAGGCACCCCAAGAATGTGTTTTATCATGAACTTACATGAAGCCTGATGAGCTTTCTCTGGAAATCTCTAACTAGGTCACTTTCTGTTGCAGAGGTAGTAACAATCTGTTTCAAAGGAGATGTGTCTTTGAACCTTCGAGGCCTCTACTTCTTGCATAGAGTATCAGTATCTGGATGTGACAGTTCTTTATTATTATTTATTAAATCCCAAAATCGGGTTTTCTTGTCAAATTAAAGACAATTACCAATTCCTCTTTTCTTCACTTAAGTTACAGCCTTGCAGAGGGCAGGTTAGGAACTCTGTGTGAATTCCCATACAAGCTCTCAAGAGAGTGATTGAATACAAATCAGACCTCTTTTCTGTTAAACTCAGAATCTTACTTGATCATGCCTATTTCAAGGTTGCAATTAGGCTGTCTCCTTGTAAGTATAAATCAAAAGCATCTGAACTCTGTCTTAGGAAGATGGCAAATGCTCAGTAGCAAATTCTCTCTTTTCCACAGCCATGTGTATTAAAGTTCTGGCAAATGTCTATTTCTCTCAGTCTGATCAGCTTTTCAGGTGTTCATCCTTTTATATGATTTCTTTTTTTTAATGTTTTATTTCTTTCTGAGAGAGAGAAAGAGACAGTGTGAGCAGGGGAGGGTCAGAGAGAGAGGGAAATACAGAATCTGGAGCAGGCTCCAGGCTCTGAGCTAGCTGTCAGCACAGAGCCCGACGTGGGATCAAACCCACAAACCGTGAGATCATGAACTGAGCCTTCCGAAGTCGGAAGCTTAACCAATTGAGCCACCCAGGTGCCCCTCTTTCTTTCTTTTTTTTAATTTAAATTTTAGTTAACATACAGTGCAATGTTGGTTTCAGGAGTAGAATTCAGTGATTCATCACTCACGTACAACACCCAGTGCTCACCCCAGCAAGTGCCCTCCTTAATACTCATCATCCATTTAACCCATACCTCCTCCTACCTCTCTCCATCAACCCTTTTTGTTCTCTGTTAAGTCTCTTGTGGTTTATTTCCCTCTCTTCTCTCCCCCCCCCGACATGTTCATCTGTTTTATTTCTTAAATTCCACATATGACTGAAATCATGATATTTGTCTTTCTCTGGTTGACTTACTTTGTTTAGCATAATACATTCTCACTCCATCCATGTCATTGCAGATGGGGAGATTTCATTCCTTTTGGTGGCTGGGTAATATTCAGTTGTGTGTGTGTGTGTGTATTTCTATACACCACATCTCCTTTATTCATTCATCAGTCACTGGACATTTGGCTATAGTTTGGCTATTGTTGATAGTGCTGGTATAAATGTACCCCTTTGAATCTGTAGGTTTTTATCCTTTGGGTAAATACCTAATAGTGCAACTGCTGAATCATAGGATAGTTCTATTTTTAGTTATTTAATGATTTCTTACTTAAAAAGCTGTCCAAATGTCCCTTTCCACCAGATTCTGGTTCCCCTGATGTGATACACCCAGAAAGGAGAACAGACGCAGTGTAAGGGTTTCCACTAGAACTAGACTATTACCTATCTCAGATTGCTCTACCTCCCTGCCCATCCCTCTGACACTGGACATATACTGGAGTCACTGACTTCATCAGGGAAATTTTCTGAGATGTTCAGATACAAAACTTGAAAATCAGTTCCTCCCAATAGTAGTTGGAGAAGGATGGCATCCCATACTCAGCATCCATCAATTCATTCACTCAACAGAAGTTTACTGAATGATTACGATGTCATAGGCCCTGTTTAAGACACTTTTTTCCTGTTTAATTTCGTGTACTTGTTTCGCAATATCTTAGGCTCCTCCTCTTCTTTCCCCCATGTTCCTACTAACATATCTTAATGTGAGGATTTTGTCCTTGAAATTATTCTTTTGACTGTAGGGTAGACCTAAGATAGGGTATCATATTTCCAAGTTTGAAAAGACAAGAACAGTTAATGTTAGGAATGAACATAAGGAGCTAGGCCTTGGCACCAGACCCACTGGAAAGGGAGTGGGAAGGAATTAAATGACTAAGTTGCCTTGGACAATATAGAAGCTCACAGTTGGCCACAGAAAATGCCCAAGGGTCATGGTGATATCTGTTCTCAAACTAGATAAACCAAGACTTGCCACCCTCTGGCTCTGAAGTTCTCAAAGATAAACAACTTCATGCCTGCCCTTACAGTAGAGAAAAGGAAAGTGCCCTTACATGTCCCTGAAGGTTTTTATTTTGGTAAGAACACCTAACATGAGATCTGTCCTCTTAACAGAAATTTAAGTGTACAGTATAATACTATCATTTATAGGCACAATGTTGTTTAGAAGATCTCTAGAACTTACTAATTTTGCATAACTGAAATTGTATGCCCATCGATTCACCTGTTCTCCTCATCTCAAATCTTGACCTTTCATCCCCAGTGTGATAAATCAGCATTTTGCCATAATTTTGGCTACTCTCATGTTGGTTCTGATGATCACTGGAGTCCAAGGAGTTTCAAGTCCTGCTTCAAGAAAAATTTGGACATATTGTAAAAATTGATAGACTTTCGATTTTGTGGGAGTGAAGCGGTAGCTGGGCTGCTCCTGGATCCGTCGCCGCTTCGGGTTCCCTGTCGGGCTTCCTAGCAGTGGCCTAACGGAAAAATCAGAAAAGATGTCTGAGTATATTCGGGTAACCGAAGACGAGAATGACGAGCCCATTGAAATACCGTCAGAGGACGATGGGACAGTGCTGCTGTCCACGGTGACAGCCCAGTTTCCCGGGGCCTGTGGGCTGCGCTACAGGAACCCTGTGTCTCAGTGTATGAGAGGCGTCCGGCTGGTAGAAGGAGTTCTGCACGCCCCCGAAGCTGGCTGGGGAAATCTGGTGTATGTCGTCAACTATCCCAAAGATAACAAAAGAAAAATGGACGAGACAGATGCTTCTTCAGCAGTGAAAGTGAAGAGAGCCGTCCAGAAAACCTCTGATTTAATAGTGTTGGGTCTCCCGTGGAAAACAACTGAACAGGATCTCAAAGAATATTTTAGCACCTTTGGAGAGGTTCTTATGGTTCAGGTCAAGAAAGATCTTAAAACTGGTCATTCAAAGGGGTTTGGCTTTGTTCGTTTTACGGAATATGAAACCCAGGTGAAAGTAATGTCACAGCGACATATGATAGATGGACGATGGTGTGACTGTAAACTTCCTAATTCTAAGCAAAGCCCAGATGAGCCTCTGAGAAGCAGGAAGGTGTTTGTTGGGCGCTGTACGGAGGACATGACTGCCGATGAGCTGCAGCAGTTTTTCTGCCAGTACGGGGAGGTGGTGGATGTGTTCGTCCCCAAACCATTCCGGGCCTTTGCCTTTGTCACGTTTGCAGATGATCAGGTTGCCCAGTCTCTTTGTGGAGAGGACTTGATCATTAAAGGAATCAGCGTCCATATATCCAATGCCGAACCTAAGCACAATAGCAATAGACAGTTAGAAAGAAGTGGAAGATTTGGTGGTAATCCAGGTGGCTTTGGGAATCAGGGTGGATTTGGTAACAGTAGAGGGGGTGGCGCTGGTTTGGGAAACAAACAAGGCAGTAACATGGGTGGAGGGATGAACTTTGGCGCTTTTAGCATCAAACCGGCCATGATGGCGGCAGCCCAGGCAGAGCTGCAGAGCAGCTGGGGCATGATGGGCATGTTAGCCAGTCAGCAGAACCAGTCGGGCCCGTCAGGTAATAACCAAAGCCAAGGCAACATGCAGAGGGAGCCAAATCAGGCCTTTGGCTCCGGAAATAACTCCTACAGCGGTTCTAATTCAGGTGCAGCAATTGGTTGGGGATCCGCATCAAATGCAGGGTCGGGCAGCAGTTTTAATGGAGGCTTTGGCTCAAGCATGGATTCTAAGTCTTCTGGCTGGGGAATGTAGATGATGGGATTGGTATAGACTGGTGGGAATTCAAATTTTTCTAAACACATGGTAAGTATATTGTAAAATACATATGTACTGAGAATTTTCAGAATTGGTTTGTTCAGTGTGGAGTATATTCAGCAGTATTTTTGACATTTTTCTTTAGAAAAAGAGGAAAAGCTAAAGGAATTTTATAAGTTTTGTTACATAAAGGGTTGAGATATTGAGTGTTTGAAAGTGAACTGCTGTTTGCCTGATTGGTAAAAAAAAGAAAAAAACCCAACACACTACAATTGATATCAAAAGATTTCTCCTGTAATATTTTATCCCTGGACTTGTCAAGTGAATTCTTTGCATGTTCAAAGTGGAAACCATTGATTAGAACTGCATTCTTTTCTCCTTGTTTTAATTTGAACCCCACCATCTGAATTTTTCCTTAGGAAAATCTCCTTTTTTGGAGATCATGGTGTCACAGTGTTTGGTTCTTTTGTTTTCGTTTTTGTTTTTTTAACACTTGTCTCCCTTCATATGCAAAAGTACAATATGAAGCCTTCATTTAATCTCTGCAGTTCATCTCATTTCAAATGTTTATGGAAGAAGCACTTCATTGAAAGTAGTGCTGTAAATATTCTGCCATAGGAATCCTTCCGTCTACATGCTCTCTCATTCAAGACTTCGTCATCACGCTGCACAGGCTGCGTCTTTGACGGTGGGTGTCCCATTTTTATCCGCTACTCTTTATTTCATGGAGTCGTATCAACGCTATGAACGCAAGGCTGTGATATGGAACCAGAGGCTGTTTGAACTTTTGAAACCTTGTGTGGGATTGATGGTGGTGCCGAGGCATGAAAGGCTAGTATGAGCGAGAAAAGGAGAGAGCGCGTGCAGAGACTTGGGGGTGCATAATGGATATTTTTTAACTTGGCGAGATGTGTCTCTCAATCCTGTGGCTTTGGTGCGAGAGTGTGCAGAGAGCAATGATAGCAAATAATGTACGAATGTTTTTTGCATTCAAAGGACATCCACATCTGTTGGAAGACTTTTAAGTGAGTTTTGTTCTTAGATAACCCCATTAGCTGGATGTGTTAAGTGAAATGATACTTGTATTTCCCCTGCCCTTTTGTCAACTGCTGTGAATGCTGTATGGTGTGTGTTCTCTTCCGTTCCTGATCTGTAAGTGTGGTCCTGTGAACTGAAGCTGGTGGGTTGAGAACATGGACTGAGCTTGTGGTGTGCTTTGCAGGAGTACTTGGAAGCAGAGTTCACCAGTGAGCTCGGGGTGTCGCCACGAAGGGTGGAAGTTCTAATGTCTGTCAGCTAGCCCTAAGAATGCTGTTAGATGCAGTTCTGTGTCCTGTGCTTGGATGCTTTTTATAAGAGTTGTCAATGTTGGAAATTCTTAAATAAAACTGATTTAAATAAAAAAAAATTTGATAGACTTTCATGACATAGAGTTTACCCCTCCAGAATGCCAGCCAATGCTATGAGGATGTACACAAGAGCTCACAAACGTTTCTTATGCTCAAAGGCAGGATGCCCTCCTACACACTAAAAGCCTAAAGGTAAAAAACAGAAATCACTGGGAAGCTGCCCCTAAACTCCAGCCAGGAAACACAACAAGAGTGCAGCTTCTTATTCTGTCAGGAGGAGTTTTGTGCTCTACATCACCTGCCACAAACCTTTGTCCACAGGTGGCAAAGCTCCTGCCATCCTGAGCAGCACATGGCAGAGGGAAGGCAGTGGCTGACCTTCTTGGTAACCTGTTATGACAGCCTGACAGCAGACCAGCTGGATGCTCCAGACTGTCACCAAGGATGTCACAGAATGCTACCCAGGCTTGAGCATTTAATTTGTTTTACATAAAATAAAATGTCAGACTCCGGTTCTTCCTTTCACTTAAAAGAGGAAATCTAATAGGTACTCCCCATATATTAAAAAGAGCAAAGTAGAATTCCTCTGGATGAAACAGAGTGGGTGATGGAGGTGGGCTAGAGCATGTCTGTTTAGCTTTCTCTCATTATCTAACCTACTTACAGACCTCCAGCTAGCACCCTGGAATTCAGTTTGACAAACAGAAACTTGGAGCTAGAAAATCTCCAATGTACCTCCATTTCAAATAAGCTTCATGAAGGCGAGACTCTGTCTTGGTTGTTACTGAATCCTGAGAGCCTAGCATGGTTCTGGCATATAGTAAGCGCACAAGTGTGCATGCATGTACACAGGCGCACGTGCACGCTCACACACACACACACACACACACACACATTTGATGAATAAATACAAGACTTTTTTTAGACGTCATGAAATACGTCTATTTATTTTAGAATATAGCACCCTGTGACCAATAGAGTTAGAGATGTTTTTCAACATTAACCTCCCCTTCTGATCATCCACCTATACCTTCCCCAGCTTTTCTCTGCACACATATAAAAGCTCAGCTTTAGCTTCCTTGGGATTGCATCTAAAGCACCAAATGTAAATGTCTCCCAAATGGGGAAACAGCTTGTTTATACAGGAATAATTGCTTCAGCATAGTGTCCTCCTTTATAGCAAAACTTGAAGAAAATGCTGAGTAGTCAGATTCCTTGCCTTTGCATTAGGAAAGAATTTAAAACCTATTTCAGTCCTTTCTTCGGCCTCATGTAAATATAAAGCTTTTCTCCCCAAGCTTAGGGCTAAGGAAAGAAATCTAACCCTGACTTATGCTTTCCCTAAGCTCCCAAAATAAGTCCAGATCATTTTGAAATAGAGTTTTCCATAGTTTCCTTAAATTGGGGCCAGACAGAGATGGACAGAGGTTCCTATGCCAGTTTGAAACTGCCGTGAAGGGTGTAAGCGGTGCATCTCTCCCTTGTGCCCTCTTCCGTGCTCCCCTGAAGAGGGCAGTGCTGAGTGTGGATCCTGCCAAGAGCAGGCTCAAGGCTTCACCTGGATCCTGGGGCAAGCCATCAGGTGGCAGATTTACCAAGGAGCCCACCAGCTGCTTCACTTCATTACTGTTTATCATTATGTCTACTTCTTCTAAAATTTTTCTTTTATTTAATCACCTAATACTATTTTTATTGGCCTGTCATAATGTGGGGGAGAGTAGAAGGGAATTCATTTCATGTGTTGTGGAACATTATTATGGTAAAATATTAGGACAAGTCTATACCTTCCTCCTTTGAAAAATAAGATACAAAACCAATTAAAGTTAAGTGATTACTGAAATGCATCTAATTAGTTATTAACTTACACACATCAAGCTATGATGGCAGCTTTCACAGCAAAAATCCTGTTGGTGTTGATACAGAAGATAATTGATATCACAGAGGCCTCTGCTTCTCAGGCAATTGCTTAAGAAAGCACCTTCACAGCTCAGAGCCTTCTCTCCCTTTGGGTTGGGGTACATTTTCGTCAATCTGACAAGATCTGTCACATATTATCAGACAATTGATCACCGACTGCTTGCAAGTCTTAATCCATCGTTTGATCACACATCAAGAAAAATTGCTTTTTATGTCTTACATCTTGGCCATGATAAAGGGGAAAAAAGCAGAGACTTGGGCTTCCGGCTCCAGCTCATTACTTTTTTGCAAATGATAGATGGGTTCACTAGGCAATTTAACTTTAAAATGATCTTTTCCCCTTTCTCAAATAAGCAAATAGAAGGAGCTTTGCAGCACAAGCTGAGTGGAGAGGGAGTCTTCCTGCTGTTCCTTTTGTGTCTCTATAATAGGCGCCCATGTGTGGATGGAGGCATGTATGGTTAGCAAATATGTATTTGCTTAGCGTTACTGCATCTACTTCTAAATAATAGGATTTAAAGTGGACACACACAGAGAGACTAACTTTCACTCTCCAGGACATAGCTATAATCATTTTACACATTTCTTCAAGAGCACTTATGTTATATATAAAGTAATTTGAATGACTTCTAGCTTACCAAAAAAAGAGTATTATATAATGACATAGCAAAAACCACTTATAAAAAAAAAAATAACTTCCCCTACCATGAATCTATTTATGTTATTATAAAATCCTGACCTTATGTATATTAGTAATATACATTCTAGCTTTCTCAGAATGGGGCAGAGCCTAATAATGCAGGAATTAGCCCTGTTTCTAATAATTGAGTGCTACTTAATATCAAAAAGAGAAAGCATCTGTAATTATGAATAAAATAATAGCTAAAACCTCAAAGTTTTTTGAGGGATTCTATTTAAGTTGTCGACAAACACACAAATACCCTAGTAGTCTGTGAATAGTATTCCAAAGTTTGCAGCATTCAGAGATTGGCATTTGCATTCTTTGAGGCCAGGAAGGAAAAGTCCCAATTCCTCATTGCTTACCTTCCACCTTCTCCTCCACTAAAACCCTCCCTGGGAACCCTTCACTATTGTACATCCTCTGTAATTTAAAGGCACAACTGAGAGTCAGTCTTTGCATGCTTAAGTAAAATGAAAGGCACCGAGAGATGTAATTAGTGTTTTTTTCTTTGTCATGCAATTTGAGATTGACAGTGTTTCCAAGTAGTAGCCACAAAATCTTAGAGTTAGGCAGTACTTGGCTGGCCTGCAAGCTTTTGGCAATCAATGGAAAACACTGTAAGGCCAGGGAGTGGACCCCAACCTCCAGGATAGTTTGTGTCAGGCACAGAAAGAGTGTGCCAAAAAATATTTGTTTTGGTGAAATGCACATAAAGCCTCTAGCTTAGTTAGAAGTATTGTACCAAAGTCAATTTCCTGATTTTGATCATGTACTTATGTAAGGTGTTATCACTGAGGGAAAGTGGAGGAAGGATACGTGGGAACGCTGTTCTCTTTTTGCAACTTGTTGGTAAGCCTAAACTTATTTCAAAATACAATTTTAAAAAATATTTACTGAACGGGCACCTGGGTGGCCTAATCATTTAGGTGTCTGACTCTTTTTTTTTTTTTTTTTACAAATAGTTTATTGTCAAGTTGGTTTCCATGTAACACTCTTGATATCAGCTCAGGTTATGATCTCATGATTCGTGAGATTCAAGCCACGTGTCAGGCTCCATGCTGATGGTGTGAAGCCTGCTTGGAATTCTTCTCTCCCTCTCCCTCTGTCCCTCCCCTGCTCATGCTCTCTCTCTCTCTGTCTCTCAAATAAATAAACTTTTAAAAATATTTACTGAAAAGAGAATGAATGCTTCTCTAATTCTTTAAGCCTTCTGAATGTGCTACGCATTTGAAGCACTGAGGTCTCAGAGTGCTCTCATGCACCTTTTTTTCTTGTTTTTATTGTACCTCTGTCCACTTTGA